GGGGGGAAGTGTGGCATCTAAGCCGCACAGCAGGAGTTGCCTTTTCTTTCCATCCGTGGGACGTTTGCTGAAAGTCCTGTCTGAAGAGACTTCAGACTTGGCAAAGCTCAGCTGAGAAATGTCTGCTGGGCTTTGGGAACAGGGTGTTTGTGTCCAGGGCTTGGCGCCTGGAGAGGCCGACAGGCCTGCACGGCCCAGCAGGTCCCAGCCAGTGGCACTGCCCCTCCTGGCCTCACCTTCCAGTTCTTGATGTTGCTGATGCCCAGCGCGGCGATGCTCTCGTAGTTACTGAGGGCGCTCCACAGCGGGGGCAGCTGCTCCGTGCTCTCCTCCTCGGCATCTAAAAGGGGCAGCCGTGACCGGTGAGCCCTCCAGGCGGGTCCGCACCTGCCCTCTTAAGTCGCTTCCCTCCCCCTGACCGAAGGCTTCTGGGAAGATGCTGTGCCCCTCACCCCCTGGCAGGGGTGCCTGTGTCCCTGCCTCCTCAGTAGTGGGAGAGGGGGACACGTGCCTCTCCCTTAGGCTGGGAAGAGCCCTGAAGAAGTCACGGGTGACAGTTCAATCCCTCGGCTCCCCCATCCATACGTGGGAATCCCACAGGAGCCGGTGCTGTGCCCTTCCACCCGGGGGGCACGGCCTCCCCATGGACTTCTCCAAAAGCCCCAGGCAAGCAGGAGGGTCAGCAGATATCTCGAAGATCGTCTGAGGGTTTGGAATGGGTGCCCAACAGAATCTCCCAGAACTGGCCCTCCTTAGGGGAGCCCCAGGGAGCCCTCGCCTTTAAGGACCATGGCGACTACCCCATGACCCTGTTTTGTTGACTGGGGGGCACAGAATCAGCAGGAGAGCCCTGGACCCTCCATGGAGAGCCAGGTGTTCGCAGTTCCCCGTGGAGCCAGGGAGTCAGGTCAGGAATGGGGGGGGGGGTCCTCTCTTTCCTCCTAAAGATAAATCACCACTAAGTTCAGGAAAGAGCCCGAAGGTCAGGTCCCGAGGAGGCAGCAGGCAAGTGAAACACCCAAGTGGAGTTTTTAGCCTAAACGCTCACATTAGGTTGTCAGCGTCTGGGAGGCACATACCGTCTCCACAGGACGATATTCCGGACCCTGGGGGCCGGGGTCCCCATCCCAGGCCTCGGGGACTCCAGGCACCTGGCTGCCAACCCCCTTCGAGGAGGGCCAGGGGCCTGGGGTGGCGGCGGGACAGCCTCAGCCCCCACCCTGGGGCCTACAGGTCCTGGGCTCCCTCTCCATCGCTCCTCCCTGCCCACGGGCACCTCCCTGGGGGCCCTGCAAGGATGCGGCTCCTTACTGCCTTCCACCCCAAACCCTGGTCTTGGGCGGGTTTGCACCCCAGTAGCTATAGGCCGTAGCGAGCCCCGCCCCTGCCCGCCGCGGGGGGCCCGGGGGGCGGCTGTACCTACGGCCT